GGGGCCCCCAGTTCAGGGTTTTAGGGTTTTGAGATGTGGTTTAGGGTTCTGCTGATCGTTATTGCAGATGAAAGCAGCTGGACACTGAGATTCCGATTCAGATAACCGGTTGCTTACAAGGCTTGCGGAAACCCGGAAATTCGCAACGCCACGGCCCCAAAACTAAGGACAGCTACGGGGCTTCGCGGTAGCTACAGGCCTTGTGCAGCCTCATAGGTTATGTTTTTTACAGCCACGTGGCCGTCAGGTACACCGTATTACACCCAAGCACGCCCAACGCAAAGCTCGAAAAACTCGGTCCGGTGCGAGAGCAGTCACGGTCCAGTTAAAAGAAGTTGAGATGGAACAAACATGACGTGAAAACTCCAAGTCCAAACTGCAGCCGTGGTCGAGGGACAGATCCTGTTCGTATGGGACCTATACTTTTCAACTTCATATATGAGGATTCCTCATTTGTCGAAATCATTGCATTGCCCCCCCAAAGCCTACTTCAACCCTTAACCCGAAGACCTCTTTGGGAGCTTCCGGAAACAGAGGACCCTAAAATAGTACCCTTTATAGTAGGATCCTTATTTTAAGGACCCCAAACTAAGGTACCCTAAACTCCCCTATAAACTCTGAACCCTGAACCGCAACCAACCCCCGAAGCCCCGATCCCAAACCCCCACTTGCAGGTTCATGGGCAATTACCCTAAGGGTCCATATACCTAAATAGGATATACTTTGGCCTTAAAGTAGTCCCTATATAGGTACTTTGGGGCCAGAGTGTATCCTATTTAGGTACATGGACCCTTAGGGTTAGTAAGGAATTGGTTCTGAGTTCATTAAATATCGGTTATAAGTACAGTTACTCTGCTTGTAGCCCTACTCACAACTACCCCAACCCCAAACCCCAAACCGTATAGAACCCTGAAAGGATCCCGAAACTCATATGACCCTACGTATGCCTACCCATGCACCTCCAAATCCTATTCTGTAAACTAGAATCCCTTTGCTTAGGTCCTCGAAATAGTACGGCAACCTCATAAACGGATCCTACACTGGACGTACGGCTGATGATATAAATCCTGCAATACCCATAATAAGGAATATACCATAATTCCCATAGTTTAGGGTCACTAAGGTAATGCAGGATTTATATCATCAACCGTAATTTACAGAACTACCCCTATCTTCAGGCTCGCGGTGCCCAGTCCGGGACCCCCCTTCGCCAGGCGGGTTCCGTCTTGGCATTCAGTGGTTTGGGGTTTTTAGAGGATTTAGGATTTAGTAAGAGTTGTGGAGGCCGGTTCTAAGGAACGTAGCGCTTGGGATTTGAGTCAGATTAGAACTTTAGGGTTTTAGTTTCAGTTTGAGGTCAATTAATTAATACAGGTTTAGCGTTTCGGTTCCAATGGCAGAGCTTTTTACAGCCTGTGGACTTTTCGATATATGACAACAAGGACCCAATCAATTGAACTCTTACATCCATCACCCCCAGGATCCTAAGTTAACTCCTAAGAGTACCCTTCCGGGGGATACTTCCTATTATAGAAGTTTTCTCACTTTCTAAAAGCAAGGTAATTCGAATTCTTTGGGCCAAGCAAAAGACCGAAACGCGACTCAACTTATTAAAGGGCCCCTGAAAAAGGGTCTAGCAGGGTTTAGGGTTTGTGGGACTGCAGCGCTGAAGGGTTTGGATTTAACAGAGGGCGCAGCTGGAGCGAAGAACTCAGGCCCCAAGCTAAACCCTAAAGCTGTAAACCCTAAACTCCTGAAGCTTAAATCCTGGGTTTGGAGTACCATACTTGAATACATTTGAATATGTTTTTGTGGTACCTGTTCCTTGAAGGAACTATTATGAAATAAAAGTCTGTACTTTTTCTTCCTGGTTGCTTCAAAGTCCAGAAATTCCCTGGATAGGTGTCGCTTCATGGACGAGGATTGGCGGCTTTGTGAGAACGAGGCGTGGGACCCCGGCTACCGAACTGCACAATGTCAGAGTGGTTGGACACATATGGATGGGAGAGTTGACACCCTAGTAAGACCCCCCAACTCCCTCCATTGTGCCCCAAATATAGCCAGTATTAAGGACCATAAGGGCTCTATTGAGGGGCCGTTGGGGGTACAGGTCGTTAGCAGGGTCCCATCCCAAAAGTTGTCATGCCACTGCATCAGAACTTGTCAGGAAAGTCCAAGCTTTAGACGCTTCAGACCCTTGAATGAATAACAACCACCGCGGTGTAACCGTAAGCGGAAAGAGCGAAGGTCTCTGCGCACCTCACCGAGTCTAGCGACTTTGCCGTGGTTTGCGCCGTGGGCTCTGCGGGCGCAGGGCGCTCTACCGCACCTGAGTCTGAAAGAGAAGGTTCGGCGTTGTGGGGTTCCAGGACTTGTGGCTTGAGGCTTCATGCGGTTGAGGTAGGTTCGATTTGTAGAGAACCGGGCTTGTGTAAGGATAAATTTAAGAAGTATATGTTCTGCTGCAAGAGCACAAAACCCTGTTTCATTTGATTTGGCCCCTTCGGAGTGCTTTCGTCCAGGCGATACAGTCATTCTACAGTCGAGGCCTCGTTCCTCCATAGGACGACCTCTCTGGGAACTGCTGCGTAGGTTGGGTACGGCCCCCACTCAGTAATAGTTGAACGGTATTCATAATATAGTGATACATGATAGGACCTTAATATTACTAACCATTGATATTATGGGAGCTAAGGAGCCAGGGATGATGATAATCCCTATTAAGTAAGGAGCTAAAGAGCCAAGGGAACCCCCAAAACCACTGGTTAGTTATCCCTGTTATAGACTCTTACTGTATGGGGGCAGTACCTAATGTGTAGGTCTTTGAATTCGGGGGCCTTGGACTTCCGCACCAAGAGACGATGAACCCGAAACCCTCTATGCCCTAACCCCCTTATCTGCTAACCTCCAGGGTTCGCACAAGAGCCCTAAACCTATGAAGCCCAAGCCGAGGTCCTGTCCCTGTTGCTGTCGCCCTTTCTGGTGGGCTCTGAAGCTCGTGGCTCGGCGAAGCACTTGGAGTGCCAACGGCACTGGGTGGAGAACACAGAGAGAAAGAGAGAGAGAGAGAGAGCCAGAGGGAACGGAACGGAGACTTCGCAGGCCTGGCGAATATCAATAGCTCTCGGATGTATTGGTTTTCGGATTCGGCATCGGGCACATCTTACACGCTGAAACTCCGAAACTCCTGCCCTACACGATGAACCCTGGCTACAAATTTTGAAGCGCCGAGCCCGGAACCCTAATAGCCGAGGGGCCTGAATAATTGCCAATATTGTGTTGTGGGTTGCCTATGAAAGTTGTAGTACAATTGGCAGCAAATTCTTGTTCTAATTATTAAGGCCCCTACATTAGCCTAAACCCTAAACGCTAATTAGCCCCTTGCACCGAAAGTTTTTGCATGTGGGTGGTTGTCAAAATTATGGTCCCTGTTTGGTTCCCTAATATAGTACGGCACCCAATATTTAGGGTACCCCAAAAGGGACCATAATTTTGACAACCACCCATGTGTATCCGGCTAAGGCTCCAGCTTGAGCCAGAGCAGCTTCAAGGCACGGCTGTGTTCCGTGTTCTTATCTTTGGTCAGTAGGGAGTGTAAGAATGGTAGTAATAGTAGTTATAATTGTACCCCTTTCCTCCATTCCCTAATTACTAACCAAAGGTAAGTGTTGAGCTTCCCAATCCCTAGGGCTCCAGTTGTTCAAAACACTTATGTAGTCCCTTTAGTAGGTTACTCAGTGTGACTGACCATATACATATAATGTAACCCAGAACCCGCACATTCAAGTAGCTGGATTTTGGGGGGAATGGGTTGAGATATGAATCCTAAACACTAGACGCTAGTTCAACCCGCGGCCTGAATCCTACTTAAAGCTCACAAAGCACTAACCTCCCCAAAGACCAATTCCCAAACCAGGGCGGCTTGTTGACTGGCGACCTGTAGTTTTCCGGTTTTGAACAGAAGAAATGTCCGCAGTGGCCTGTTGCCACTGAGACAAGACTCCATACTAGGCGTATTGTTTCAAGTTTGGGGTTTCGGGAACATTGGTGTGGGTTTAGAGTAAAGCGTATAGTCTGTTGTTGTTTTCCCATGTGCATGCATGCATTGGTCCAGCCGCGGCAATATTTACCGGTTTGATTACGACTGCGACCATGACCCGAGCGAGGAGGAGAGAGTAGTTTCCCGGACGGTAGCCCCCTGCAAGCCCAAAACCCTAAACTCAACCCTAAATCCACGCTGCCTCTTTCTGTCGCACTCTGAGAGGTGCCTTTGGGCATCAGGACGGCCGAAGCCTTTCTATCAGGCCGCAGCACGGGTTATGTGGAGCAAGGGCGTCCTAAGGGTCCATGTACCACATAGTATACAGTATATGCTTTATAGTTTCAGTTCTATATCGGCTATTTACTGTATATTTTGTATCAGATATAGTACATATTCTACGCTACAGCACTTACACAGGGCCCCAAGGTGCATACAGAATCGGCAGGCACATGGACCCTGAGACATGTATCACGGGTGTAGCTTTTTGTTGTGATGGCCCGAAGGGATCTAGCCTGCGCCTGCACTAAAAGCTTCAAAAACCAAAAGCCTAAAATCGGACAAACATGAAGCGAAGCTGCAGCAGACGGGGGTCTAGGTGCATGGCTTACAGGGCAAGAGTCTGGTTAGTTGGCCGTTGGTTCTCCGTGGTCGCCGAGTCGCCACCAGCGCCACCCACAGGACCTCAACCCAGAATCCTGCAGCCTCCCAGCAACACCCAGATCTGAATACCGTACGGTACCCGAAGGGTCCAAAGGACCCAATAATTAGGCACTCGGGTTTCGGATAGTAGTTATGTAGGCTACTATTTTGGAGAGTTTTTTGTTTTTTAGGTACTTGGGCCCTTAGGGTTATGCACCATTGACCTTGAACAGAGCTTCTTGAGGTTCACAGCCTGTACACAAGTCTCACACCACTTCAAAACTGGGCATAGAGCTTGCCGCAAGGCAACCCCTCACCAATGGGTGTGGACATGTGCATCTCCACTGCTGCCCCGGCCTCAGAGAGCTGTGTTTTGTTCCTGATTGCTAGTGCTTTATGGGGGGACGGCGGCAAAAAGACCTAAATCCCAAACCTTAAACCCAAAGGCCACAACACCAAAACCCTAAACCCTGAATCCCTGTCAACCGTTAACAACGTAAGCCACATCAGATCCCCCAGGATCGGCTCTTGCTTCTCGATGCGCAGCCCCTCTTCGAGACCGTCACAGCCATGCCTGAGTCAGATCTGAAGTGCCCGGGATGAACAGGGGTGCAGGGGTTTAGGGTATACCTGTAGTCGGAAAGACCTAGGTTTTGGGGTTCCTTATTATATGATTTCTATATGTATTTCCTGAAAAAGGTACTTCCTTTCGGCTACGGGTAGGATCTGCGAACAAGAAGTTATTTACCAACTTGGATTCGTCATTGATTTCCCATGTTGTTTGATATATCAACCCGTTGTTTACATGATGTTGGGGACTGTTGAAATCGACACATGGTATAGTGTTGCTAGACCTAAACCCCAAACCCTATAGTACAATGTTGCTATCCGCAAGTCACAAGTCCGAGCCTCGGTGAACGACTCAAAGACCCCAAGCGTGAAGACTGACTCAGGAGCGAGCTCTACTTGATGATCTTCTTGGCATCAATATGCCCGGGCCTCGCTTATTTATTGATGTCCTACCCAAGGCTTCCGGAGACCTTATTATTGGGTCCTTAAGGGGTCTAGGGCCCTAACTGTAACGTCCTTGGAGGCATAGGGCTATATAATAGTAAGAATAATAATAATCATAATCTAATAGTATTCAAGTCATTGATTATATATATGTATAAATTATGATACTATTCATAGAGTATACCTTACTGATATGTTTGAATACGCTTCCGGGAATTCAGCATCCAGGCTTTCGCCTGAGGAGTTGCCTGCCTCCGGCTTACCTTACCCTACTTAGAGGATCATGGGACTTAGTAAGTAGGTTATAATTGGGGTTATAAGTCCCCTAAGTGGGGTTATCCTAATTATAACCTACTTCAAACCTTACTTACTAAGTCCCATGAGCCTTCAAGTAAGACTCCAAGTATACAAATAGTACCCACTTTGGGGTCTAAAGTCTATAAATACTACCTACTTTGGGCTATTTGGAGTCTTAGGGCTAACCCCAAATATCCTGCCTTTTCTCGGAACTCATATGAGGAGATTACATATCCTCTGGAGCCCGAAAAAGGTAGGGTTTATAGGGTCTAGGTCTGGGTAGGGTTTATAAGCCTTGCCACGCATTCGGTCGGATTTGCGCAGAGGTACTTCTCCTGCACAAGAATCCCGCGACGTCTCAAGACCAACTCACCCCCGAACCCCGAGCCTTAAACCACCCTAAATCCCTAAAGAACCCTAAACCCCGAAAGAACCTTAAGCCCCTAAAGAACCCTAAACTAAACCCCTAAAGAACCCTAAACCCTTAAAGACTTCAAGAACCCTGAACGTCTGAAGAAGCCCTGCACGTCTGACCCTGAACATGGGGGCTCCACTGGCATAAGGGGGTGTGATGCTTGGAGGTTCATGGGTAGTTATAAGGGTTCCTTTTAGGGTCCCTTTTAAAGGGATCTGCAGGGATTCTATAAGGGTGTAGGGTTTAGGGCCGACTAGGAGGTTCATGGGTAGTTACAAGTAGGGTCATAAGTAGGGTAACTATACTTATAGTCCATATTGGTGGACTTATAACTCCACTTGTTATCACTACCCATGAACCTCCAAGTAGGGTTAGGGTTTTGGGTTTCTCTAGGGTTTGTCTTCGACTACCTGAACCAACTTATTTGCAGGGCCTTCTTTTATATCATCTAATTTCGAAGCTTTAGGGACTCCGCGCAAAAGTGGCTGTTGGGAATTCAAGTTGGTACTACAGAAGCCTGCTTATCATCATATAGACCCAAAACCTGTTCGAACTATTCCTACACTGTCCCAAAACCCTAAACTCTTTAATCCCAATCCATCAAGGTCCTGAACCCTGAAGCCTAGTGATTTCAGGCCACACCCTCCTAGTCGTGACCGACACGGTGATGGCCCGCCCCCCAGCAGAGACGGCACGGATTGGGTAATTAGGATCCTAGCAGGTTCATTGGTAGTAGCACAAGCACCTAGAATCTGCAAGCAGCGAAATAGTAAGCCTGTTTGGTCCCGAACACTACATCTAAGTTCCCAGCCAAGTGCTGTCTTCCGAAAGACACCTTTAAATTTGAACATGTGTAGCTGAGACCCATTAAATTCCCAATGTGCCTTACACCATCTTCCGGATCCGTCCATGGTTTTCCCACAAGTGTACCTTAAGTTTTAACCTACCATGGCCTACTTCTTGTGTGGGTTCTTATCAAGACCCTTATGTAGAATATCCAGGGACCATACAATACAGTGAGCTTTGGCTTGAAGTACCCTCACCCCTGCTCCCGGGAGCTTCAGCAATTCGCCTGTCGAGGAGGTGCACCTGTGGAAGTTCTTGAGGCAGATGGCCATGCTGAAATCGAAGGCCGGAGGATGCAGCCCTTGTCGTTGGGGACGGGTTTAGGGTCCAGGGTTTACGGTTTAGGGGTGGGGGTTGTCGGGACTTAGGTGCCTGAAGGGTTCCTTTTCCATGAATGATTTGTACCACAAAACCTGGGTGCGATCAATCTGTGTTTGAGGGATTTGACGTCGGAGTCTCGGTAGACATCTTGCCGGGTCGAGCTTGGGGTCTATGTTGTACACTCCCTGTGGGCAGGTTAAACTAACTCTCTCCGAATCAGCCGAAGTGATTCTCCCTTGATTGCGATTGCTGCGTGACGTCAGTTGCTAGATATCAACCTCAAACCGAACATGCAATCCGAAACCTCGAAACAGGTACTAGCACAAGAGCCAACCACACAGCCTTAATTAAACCTCAGAACCTAATCCCACGCCCAACACTCCAAACAAGTTGCAGTTAGCTTTTGGCCGACCATGGGAGGAATAAGGAGAGGGTTTGGGATTTAAGAAAGGACACATCGACCCTCTTCACCACCAGAGTAGAGGATGTAGGTACGTTCATGAAGGTTCCGAACTTGGCAACCTTCGTTCGTCAGAAGCAAGCTCAGGCGCATGCTGGGCTTTGGTTTTGTACTAGAAAGGGCAGCGGGTTAATGATTTTCTTAGTTGTTGTTTTGTTTGGGCGATTTCGTTGCTGTTGTGGGTTTTGGGTGCGGCTAGTGTGCAGGCAGGTCTTTTTCTTCATGAAGTGTTTTCAGTTTTGTTGTTGACGGTTGGTGGGTTTCGACAAATTGCTTTCAACAGCACTGCTCAGGGGTAGAGTTCAATCTATCGGCTTGTTTATTACATTCGCTCTGACTAGGACCGTCTAAGACCTTCTGATTGCTTTTGACAGAGGGTCCTGGTCTCTAGGAAGCCTCATGCATCGGGAGCCATAGAAAACTAGCCTTAAACCTGTCGATCCAACAGTCTTTTGCTCAGTGATTCGATCTGTAAGGTGTAATGTGGAGTCGCGGTTAGTAAACCGTCTTTAGGAAAGCGTTTGGATTATCTGGGTCATGTTCGGGTTGCTCAAGTGCCTGTCAGAATTAGGGATCGAGTTTGCTGCGTGGTGCCGTGTTTCGAGCACTTGCCCGAAATATCACCCTACTTTGTCCCTTGACTTGATCCTTTAGGTAAACCCTACGCCTAAACCCTAAACACCCTTGTGGTTTGGTGTTCAGAGCTTTAGGGGTGTAGGGTTCAGGGTGCAGGGGTTGAAGGGTATGGAGTTTAGGGCCCCTCCAAAGGCAAAGACCGAACACAAGTCAAAACAACATCCGCAGATCGCATGCCAGAAAGCCGGATTTATCGTTTCTACGGAAACTAAATGCATCGCTTCTGCAAGGTCTTATACGACGCCTTATAACCTTATAGTCGCAGGAATGTCTGTCCAGACCACCTCCGACATGCCGCCGCCCTGATCCCACAAAATCTCCATAGTCTCCGTGAGAGGCATCAGCAGAGCCCGTTCAGCCCATTCAGGAGGCACGGTTTCTGTGTTTCGGCTGTGGTTTGGGTTGAGGCGGTGCAGGGTTCAGGGTTTCAAGGGGGTCCAAGGATTGAAAGTAAAAAACTCCGGTTGGCGGCAGCGACGGTGCAGGGTTGACTGTACGTGAGTTGTAGAACTCGTTATATAGAGCTCGAGGTGTGTGATTTAGGGAAAGCTAGGTTTGCCAATCGCAGTACATTCTGCGCCGGGGGAATAGCCTTTCGTGTGGTTGGGTTTGGATGACGAGAACCGGTAGTCAAAGGAACAAAATGGTTGGTGGCAGGCAAGATATAGATGGAAGTTCCCAAACCTTAATTAAGTGTCCATGTACCCACATAGCCTATACCCTGGCTTTAACGTCGTCCCAAGGCAGGTATCTTAGGGCCAAGGTATCTTTCATATGGGCACATGCACCCTTAGGGAAAAAGCGGCTAGAATTTAATTGCCGGCTCAGTGCTTCCTGGAACGAGTGCCCGCTATTGGTTGCTGTATCAGACCGAGAGAGCCCAAGACCACTTAATCAATGAATACGGCTGATTTCATAATATGAAGCCCCGCATAATTTAAGGACCATTCCTTATTTAAGGGATATTGGGCTCTATGGGGAAGTCGTGTCATCCGCGAGCTAATCCAGGATCTGCCGCGCCTGCTGGCGGTTTTCAACAACTTGAGCCTCCAGATCGACGACGGCATGGAGGCTCGCGCACTTCGGTGGTGAAGCAGGAACTTCAATTGTTCCTACATGCTGATGTTTGCATGTGTATGTTTTATACGCATGTTGATGATAAGACTGCATGCATACACCCGTACTGGCGTGCATACCTACCTACTTACATACACATACATACATACACAAATACATACAGCTGTATGAAAACACGTATTTAGTTACTAGGAAACTGGGAAACAATACTTCAGCTCCGTTTATTGCGCCTTATAGAAGTCTGCCCAAAACCATTATGCCAGGTCGTCGAAAGCCGTTAAAGAAATCCGTATACAACCGTATAACATCCTATATTCAGCCCGCCAGAATTCGATAAAGCCCTGTCAGATCCTTTTAGCAAGAAACACACCATACACCAGCAAACAAAAAAAGTATAAGCCCCAAACCCTAGACCCCTTTGAACGTATAGGCCTTGATGGATGTCGTCCGAACTTGGTTGGCAGACTTTAAGAAGGAGCTCAACAGAAAAAAGCAAAAACACACGTTTGAATCCCCCAGAGTTTCAGGTGCCAGAGCTTTATGAGCCCGTTCAGAACTTTCTCGGCCACTGCGAGTGGAAGGCCTCGTCGTTCATTCCTAGCTGAAGGTTCAAAAAGGGCTTGTGAACCCGAAACCCGAAACCTTAAACCCTGAACCCTAAAAGCGAACTTCATGGTTCAGGGCTTAGGGTTTAGGATGTAGGCCCGAGGATCTGGGCTCATTGGTTTACGAAGAGTTTGAGGTTTAGGGCTTCGGGGTACAGCAAGTGATGGTAGGTTGAGGTGGGCTTACCAGATAGCTAACGAGTCTTCGAGACGCAAAACATGCTGCTTTCGTTCGCGCAGTGCCTGGTTTGGGCTGATTGCTGTTCCCGGACTACAAAGGCGCCAAGAGAAGGCAATGCTACCGAGCCATCATCATCTTAGGTCACGTTCGGCTGGCTTAAAAAGAGCTAACTATCTAAGCCCTGGCCAGCAAATTAGATTCCAACAGCATTGAAGCCTTGAACATACGAGGCCCAGCCACTTCCTTCACTACATTTGCCTGAGACCTGCAACTCCCTTGCCTTATTCCTATCTTTGCTTTTCAGAAAGCACACGGGGGTGTTCAGATTCGGGCCCTTAAACCCTAAACCTTAATCATGGAGCTTCCAATTTCAAGAAGCCCCCTTCGTGAGATTTTAAACGTCCAAACCATAGACCCTAAGCAGCCCTAATCGCTAGATGCTCAACCCCAAGCCTTAAGCCCAAATCGCAAACTCAACAACAAATGTCAGCCCAAAAACCCTAAACTCTAAAACCTTAAGCTCTGGAAAGGCAGCACCTTCCGTCGACTGCATGGGCTTGCCGCAGCTGCCGGGCAAGAGTAGGGGCCTCAGTCTCTCCCACGCTAAGCCCTGCTCTGACCCTAAGAAATCTGGACAGAGCCTCCAAGCAAGCACCAGCTTGATCCTGTTTCAGAGGTTGCCCACAAACTGCAACAAAAAGCCCTTATGCCCCTTAACCCTAAACCTTAAACCCCGAACCTGAAAGGAACCCTAAAAGGAACCCCAAACCTTAAACCCCCAAGGAGAAAGTGGGCAGATTGAAGGGTAGTACCCTCATAGAAGCCTTAAAGAAGCCCTTACAGATCCTCTCTACGGTGGACAGATTGAAGGGCTTCCCGTGCCGAGGTTGCCAGGAGCTCCTTTGCAGCGAGAAAGCTGCGGCCGCCGGACTTCGCCAGAATCCCAAGCTCTCGTCTCTCTGGTTCTTCGGGTTTAGGGGTTAGGGTCCCTAAACCCTAAACCCTAAACCCCTAAACCCTAAACCCCTAAACCCCAAACCCTAAACCCCGAAACCCCCAGATCCTGAAGCCTCGACTCCATAGACACTTGCAGGGTTACTGCTTTGCACACCCGAGTCCAGTCGCAACATTGTGACGTAGGGTAGGAAAGACGCAAAGTTTCGAAGGCACAGGACACAAAGCCACAGTAACTTTCAATGACAAGAGAAGCAAGCTAAGACAGGTCGTGGATCATTTGAGGATCAGGGTTCTGAGGTCAGATTTGTATCTAACCAAATGTATGGTCTTTAGGGGTTTGGGGCTCAGCCGTTTTGTAGGCAAGCGTGGGAGCTCACGGTGCACAGCGGCAATACATAGACGATCTGCTCTTCCACTGGTCCGTATGAGGTTGCTTGATGTAGTCTGGGGGTTGAACAGTGTTTCTGGTAAGGATCATAAATATTGGTTAGTGAGTGCTTGGGGTAAAGTTTATAGTCTTGTTTATAGTACATCCGTTGGTTCATCGCAATTGAAAGTCAATGCTTTTTATAGGGTTGAAGGTTTACAGTGTCTACAGTACATAATACATAATACATACCGAGATGCTTTTTGGGGGTCCGACTATGTACTACAGGTAACTTGTCTGGTTCTGCGCAAATTTGAAGCAACACTCAATGATTTCCTGCAAATGCCACCGGCAGGTCTGCGCCAGCACCTCTTCTCTGAAGGCTTGATTTTGAGGGCTTCAGCACCAGACCTTGCAGGATCAAGGGGTCTACGTGGGGCCTCACGGGCTGACAGACTTTCGGGTTTTTGAGGTTTACCGTATGATTCGGGCGTTGTGCTGAAGCATTGCCTGCAACTTCCCTAATCTTTCAACCCTGGGCTGGGTCTAAGCATACATTAGGGCCATTAGGGTTCAGGGTTTGGGAGTTTAGGGGTTGCGGGTGTAGGCCGGACCCCCAAACCCTAATGCTTCCTGATCTGAAACCCTTACAGGGAACTCCAGAAAGTTGGAATAGGGTTTGTGAAGGCGTTCCTCTGCCCACTTTTACAGTCGGCCTTACGGCACAGGCTTACGGAATCGAGAAGTGTACCAAGTTCGTTCGTGAGGCCATTTTTGTGCGATCAAAGAAGTCTTGCAGCTTCACAGGTCATGAGCCCAAGGTGCTGAGCGCCTTGGGTTCCGTAGCATCGTGCATCGCGAGGGTTCATGGATTCAGGCCTGCGTCGGCGGCGGAGCAGAGCAGCTTCGGAGGGCCAAATTGATAGTGCGGCTGGTGGGGACTTAGTTCTGGCGTCGAGTGTGTCAGAAGAGACGACCACTGGTCAGGCAGGTGTCGGGGCGACAGTGTCCCCGTTTTGGTCTGAACGAATGCAGTTAGAAGCTCAATTGCAGGCAGCAAGGCCGCCTGATCTGGATGAGGTTGTCGCTCGTCTGGAATCTGGACCCAGCAGCGCATCGACGGAGCTTCGGCGGAATGATGGTGAGATGCCAACTCCGAGTGGCCCTCCGGTGAGTCACGGTCCTTGTGTGGACCGCGGAGGGGCAGCCGAATCTACGCCACGCGCTGTGAGTGCGCAAGCTGCGGAACCAGCTCCGCCAATCGTGGAAAGTGACCCAGATCCGCGTGATCCGTCGCAAAGTGCGGGGATGAGACCGGGCGAGCGATTGATCATGGAGCGCATGAAGGAGTTGCTTGAACATGTATTCCATCAGAATTCTGAGCTTGTGGAACAGAATAAGGTAGTTCAGGGTCGGCTAGAAAGGTTGGAAGAAGAAGCGACCATGCGGTCAGCCTCGTCGGGTGGACACAGGGATCAGTTGGATGCGGTTCGTGAATTCTTAGATGTTGCCTCAGGGTTTTCCGGAAATCGAGGGACTGTTGTCGGCAATACGGGCATCAAAGGACCAGCTGGCTTGTCAAGCGTACCAGCAGCAATTCAAGGGGATTGTAGTGCCTCTGGGTTTGGTAGGTATGTATCAGCTAGGGAAAGGGGTTCGCTAGACTACCACGAAGGTGTCGAGGAAGGAATGCGGAGAGCTTTAGCTCGGAGGGATCAAGAAGAATCGCGGACACTCGTGCCGCAAGTGCCGATGGTGCCCGCGGCGCTCGGGCATGGACGAGACCTTAGTCCCCCTCCTCCACCGCGACCTCGTGATGAATCTTACAGGCCCACGACCCCTAACGGTACTGCAGTTCCTTTGGGAAGCCCCCCTGAATCTCCTACGCCACAGTTTGGATCGCCTCAGCAGTCGTTGTTACGAATGAGCTTTGAAGGCCACCCAGCTAGATATATGGAAGGCATGGTTAGGAATTCTGCTCCAGGTGTTACTGCCACAGTCGATGGAGTCAGTACGGAGACCATGTTGGGGTCAACGTCCATGTTTGGGTCTATGTCGATGGGAATGGCTGGTGCTCCTGATGCTCGACCGGGCTTAAGTCCATACAGACAGCCGCCAACCCCGACGGTGCCAATCTCCCCAGCTGGCGCTTCCATGCCGGCTGTGAGTAACGGCCATGTTGCTGCGTCACCTGGGCGGGACCCGTACTCTCCAGGGGATCGTACTTGGTGGAAGCTCCCGTCCCTTTGTGGTCCACTAGAAGAAGATGCCTGTATCGCGGCAGCTGATTGGATCACTCAAGTTTCTCCCATAATGGGTGATCTGTCACCGGCTAGTGCGGTGTGGTGGCGTCGCGTGCTTGCTACAGCTCAAGATGCGTACAATCGGTGGCAGGTGGCAGGGGCGCTTGAGAAGGCGAGCGTGACATGCGAAATTCCAGCAGAGTTGCAGGATTCTCGGTATGCTCGTCTAGAGTCTAGGGCTGTTGGTATGTTGTTGGAGGTTTTTCCGGAAGAAATAAAGCAACGTATGATAGCCGATGCTGATATGTCTGCTGCGAATGCCATGTTTCGGTTGTACTTGGCCTATCAACCGGGAGGCCTTAGCGAGCGGCAGCGCTTACTACAAGGATTAACGGATCCTGGAACCGCAAAGTCAGGTCGAGATATGGCGAATCGCCTTCAAAAGTGGCAACGGTGGCTTAGCAGGGCACAGACCCTGCTCATAGCGGTCCCGGATGCAGCGCTTTTATTGGCAGGATTGGATCGGCTGGCAGCGCCTCTTTTAGCCACCCACCCTCAGGTAGCGTTCCGATGCAACAGCGCCAGGAACATCCACCAACTTGACTTCAGCCCTAGCACGGTGACTGTGATGGGTTATGCCAGGCTTCTTCAGGCAGAGGCGGAAACTCTAGCATTGTCGGGATCTGATGTGGACTTGTCAGCTGGTGGTCCCAAACCTCCGAAGACTCCTAAAAATCCTAAGGATGCCTCTCTAGCCAAGGTTGAAGAAACGGGAAAAGGGAGTAAAGGGGAGAAAGGGGGGAAGGGAGACTCGAGCAAGGGTTTGATCAAAGGTGTGCCTTCCGAGGGTAAGGGAAAGAGCAAAGGGAAGGATTCCAAGCCCGAGGGGCCTGTACCTTCAGCTTCTGCCAAGGGTGTATGCAAATTTTATCTTTCTGCCACAGGGTGTAAGTTGGGAAAGAACTGCAGAATGACCCACGACACGCAACGGGCACAAGCGGAGGGACGTTGCTTCGCATGCGGGTCGGGGAAGCATAAGATAGCGGATTGCACTAGGCCTAAGGGTGACACGTCGGCTCAGGCTGAGGCCGCCCCGCCGGTAGCCAAAGCTGTTGGTCAGAGCGACCTCAGGGGGGAGTCCTCTAACGCCTCATCAAATGTGTCGGCCAGTGCTCCCGCAAATCAACAGTTTGCTCCACCGACGGTACAAGACTCCACTAGCAACGCTTCTGGTCACGGGTCTCAAAGGGATGGTAACTCTGGTGCGGGGAATGCCTCGGTAAGATCGGTTGATGCTCAGGCTTCCCAGGAGAGGCTTGTGGAAGAGGCTATTGGGTTTCTTCGAGGGATCAGATTGGCGGCTGTGCAGGGCCCATCGAGTGGGGAGGATTCTGACAGTCAGGACCCCTCACCGCGCTCGGAAATCTCGCAAGACCGCAATAAGGACCCTAAAGTGACGAAGATTAAATCCCAAAACCCTAAGCATAGGACTTGTCTCCTGGACGGAGGGGCAACCCACTGCCTACGGACGGGCGCAGCATCGGAGCTGCAGCTTGCCACACCGACCAGGGTTGGGCTAGCTCAGGGTCAAGCGCACATGCATGTGAACGCTCAGGGAACGTTGCTCACGGATCAGGTAGTACAACCGATCTGCTCGTTGGGGTTGTTGGTGAAGGAGTGCGGGTACAAGGTGTCATGGGATGATCAAAGGTTTGAGCTCCGAGGACCGAACGGCGAGAGAATTGAGACGAAACTTCGGGGTGATTGTCCTGTAGTTTCGGAGGGTCTTGGATTGGCTATGATTAAGGAAATCGAAGATAAGAGACACTCCAGAGCCGTGCGACAGCTCTATCTTCGGGCAGTCAGACAGAAGGCTGCGGGAGTCGAAGGGTCGTCGGAATTAAGGGTTGCAGGTGTCACGTTGATTGAGATACTGGAGTGGCTGAATCGAGAGGCTGGGGAGCTGGGAGAGAGTGTGTTATCGCAGGTCCCTCCAGACAGTTTTCAGGTAGAGCATCATTCGTTGGTGCTTAATCGCCGCAAACGTCGGGCCTTGGATCGGGCAACCGGGATAGTTATCCATGTGTTCGCGGGTCACCTAACATCTCGGGATCTTAAGGGCCTTCCAGCTGGAGTTGAAGTGCTGTCGGTAGGGAGTGAGCTTGGGCGCGATCTCAGGGATGATAATCTCTTTGCTTATTTGCTGGGCCTTGTCCGTGATGGCAGAGTGGTAGGGATCATCGGAGGGGTTCCGCAGAGAGGTGCCGGCTTGATAGTCCAGGTTCTGCGAATGCTCATGTTGCAGTGGCTATGTGAGCAATTGCATCCAGGTAGGTCCCTGCTAGCTATTCAGGGCTTAAAGAGTGTGACCAACTTGCGAGCGCAACTTCCGGAGGAGGAGCATCCTCCGCTGTGTCTGTGGGAGGTGCCAGTCATACGCAGGATGCTCAAGTCGGGTGCCTATCAAGTAGCCACGTTCGATGGGACTAACCGTCTCTTGACCAACCAGGAGAAGTTATGGCAATGGCTTAATGGGCAGCATACAGTTCTAAGGCCAAACAAGGAAGGAGATTTAGGTGTCAGGCTTGAGCGATCTAGAGGGGTCGGGAGTTGGAGTCAGGGGCTGTGCACGTGCATAGGACAGGCTCTCAAACACCACTGCGAGCAGCTCTCCTTGATAGCTGTGAAATCGCAGGCCAAGTCCCAGGTACCAGACTCCACGCCACAGGTCCAGGCTCTATCCCAGCGCGAGCTAGCCTTTAAAACCCATTGCGAGTCCGATCATATCACCTTTCGTCCTGATTGTCAGGTTTGTCTCAGCGGGGCAATTAAGACCCACATGCACTTCCGCAACAAACATAAGGCACGCAACGCACTTACGCTTTCAGTAGACCTTGCGGGCCCACTTGTGAGAGCGAGGGATCAGGAGAGTAGCCCTTTGCGACCGAGTGATCAGATGCGGTATCTGTTGGTGGCGACGTTGTCGGTGCCATGGTTTGAGGGTGGTAAGCTGGTAGACCTTACTAAAGGGGACTCCCACCGTGATCATCCTATCCCTCCCGATGGCGATGATGAGATGTTTCTTGCCGATGGCATGCTGGATGGACTGGGATGTGAAGTTGAGGAGGCTCCAGGTGAA